CTTTACCTTTTCGAATTTTGGTCAAGACAGCGATTTGTCCTGAAATTTAAAAAAGGTACAGGAAATTAATGCACAAAAATGTGTATTCTAATTAAGGTAGGATTCTTCTCTGGTTTCTGACTAGGTGAAATATTCAATGTATATTTGCTAATATGCCTCATATATTTAGATGTAAGAAATTAAAAAGACAATATTTTTCGTTCCTCGTAATGATTGTACAACTTTAAATAGAAATGTTAAAGTGCGTTTGAAAACTAGCAGGGACTATATTTTTGGCGGAATAGTGGCGTATGAAAATATCTTCTTTTCTGCCTGTCAATTTTTTTTTATAGAACAATGAAGTAAGCTATAATTTTTACACAATCAGAGACTTGAAGAAATTTTCAAATGTAAGTTTAATTAATACTAAGGGACTAAAGTTTCAAAATATATATATCAAATTAATATGATTTTTCAAACAATCTAGAACTATGTAAGCCTTTAAAAGCATCCAATCTAAGTACAGATTTGAGCGAAAAATCCGTAAAAAGTGTTTTTTTTCTCTCTTAGAAAACGATCAAAACTTTTTGTTTTTGTATCATTTTGTATCCTTATATGACAATTTTACCATACGTTGAAATAAGATAAATTTAAATATAGGAAGCATATAAAAATATCTAATATATCCTAAAAATTTAAGAAAAGTAGAGAAAATTCGGACTAGCCAATATCCATTTTAGTTAAATCATTTATGTCAGTTTGGCAATATTATCTTATAGGCCCTATATGGTGCTGGTATCTTTTTATATAAAAAGATAAACATTCAATCCTTTTAAATACAATCAGGGATCACATGATTGGCAACAGTAATTTTTAGGTCACCTGAGTAACTCAGGTGACCTATTGCTATCCGTTTTCGTCCGTCGTCGTCCGTCGTCCGTCGTGCGTCGTGTGTCGTGTGTTAACATTTGAACATTTTCAGCTTCTTCTCTAAAACCACTGAACCAATTTCAACCAAATTTGGTATACATCATCTATGGGTGAAGGGGAACAAAAATTGTGAATTTCATGGTCCCCGCCCCCCTGGGGCCTGAGGAGTGGGGCCAAAACCACTAAAATTAATGAAATCTTTAAAAATCTTCTTCTTTACTCCTGGACATTAAGCAGGCAAACTGTTGGCATGAATGTAACGAGCATTGAGTCCTCTACCAAAATTGTGAAATTCATGGCCCCAGGGTCAGGGGTTCTAGTGCTAGGGCGGGGTAGATTATATAGTGAAAATGCATTATTTCTTTGAAAATCTTCGTCTCTGCTCCTGGGTATTAAATAAACTAACTAAGCACATAGTTATGATGAGCAGGAGTGCCTCTTCCAGATTTGTGAAATTCATGGCTCCAGAGTCAGGGGTTCTAGTGCTAGAGCGGGGCTTTGTAGATTATATAGTGAAAATGCATTATTTCTTTGAAAATCTTCTTCTCTGCTTCTGGATATTAAATAAACTAACTAAGCACATAGTTATGATGAGCAAGAGTGCCTCTTCCAGATTTGTGAATTTTATGGCCCCAGAGTCAGGGGTTCTGGTGTTAGGGCGGGGCTCTATAGATTATATAGTGAAAATGCATTATATTTTTGAAAATCTTCTTCTCTGCTCCTGGGTATTAAATAAACTAACTAAGCACATAGTTATGATGAGCAAGAGTGCCTCTTCCAGATTTTTGAATTTTATGGCCCCAGGGTCAGGGGTTCTGGTGTTAGAGTGGGGCTCTATTGATTATATAGTGAAAATGCATTATTTCTTTGAAAATCTTCTTCTCTGAACCTGGGTATTAAATAAACTAACTAAGCACATAGTTATGATGAGCAAGAGTGCTTCTTCCAGATTTGTGAATTTTATGGCCCCAGGGTCAGGGGTTATAGGGCTAGGGCGGGGCTCTATTGATTATATAGTGAAAATGCATTATATTTTTGAAAATCTTCTTCTCTGCTCCTGGGTATTAAATAAACTAACTAAGCACATAGTTATGATGAGCAAGAGTGCCTCTTCCAGATTTTTGAATTTTATGGCCCCAGGGTCAGGGGTCTGGTAGTAGGGCAGAGCTCTTTTGATTATATAGTGAAAATGCATTTATTCTTTGAAAATCTTCTTCTCTGCTTCTGTGTATTAAATAAACTAACTAAGCACATAGTTATGATAAGCAAGAGTGCTTCTTCCAAAAATTGTGAATTTTATGGCCCCAGGGTCAGGGGTTCTGGTGTAAGGGCGGGGTTCTATTGATTATATAGTGAAAATACATGAATTTTTTGAAAATCTTCTCTGCTTCTGGGTATTAAATAAACTAACTAAGCACATAGTTATGATAAGCAAGAGTGCCTCTTCCAGATTTGTAAATTTTATGGTCCCAGGGTCAGGGGTGCTGGTGTTAGGACGGGGCTCTATTGATTATTTAGTAAAAATACATTAATTCTTTGAAAATATTTTCCTTTGCTTCTGGGTTTTATGCCAATGATCCAAGTATATATATATTTATGATGGAGAAAGATGCATCTAGCAAAGTGGTTTTTTTATGCCCCCCAGGGTCAAAGGGGGGGGGAGGGTTACATAGTCTGAAAATAAATTAATGTTTGAAATCTGCCCTTTGCTATTAATCAACCATTTTATGATTACATTTGCAAAATTTTGAAATATGTGGCCCATGGGTCAGTGGTTGAGGTGCACAACTGGTTATAAAGTGGAAGTGGATTTTCTCTTTGTTACTCTAATCTACCTCTGGGTATTAAGTAAATAGAGTAAGCATGCTAAGTTAATAATTATGATAAGCAATGGTGCCTCTTTCAAAATTGTAAATTGTGAATTTCATGGCCTCCGGTTTAAAACACGAACCCAAATATAATTGTTTGAAAGTTGTTACATAATACTCAGGTGACCTATAAGGCCCGTGGGCCTCTTGTTTATTCTTAATGTCCAAGGAAAAGGTTATGACCTTGACCTGACCTTGCCTCTAATACAAAACGGTCGAAGTTATTCTCACTTATACCATCACTTAGTGAAGTTGTCTTCTTGATTCTGTGAAAATTTCATTATTTTTAAAAACAAGAAATATGAGAAGAATCCTCCCTTAAGAAGGAAAGAATTATCATGAATATCGCATACTCCTCTTTTAATAAAAGAAACTAACCTTTTGGGATTTGTCAGACAATCTTCGCCTATTAAAATTTTCACAATAATGAATAAATAATTAAATTAATAAATAATTAATAAATATATAGATTAATGAATAATAAATTAATTACATGAAGGAATAAATAAATAAATGTATAAATAAATAAATAAATAAATAAATAAGTAAATAAATAAGAAATCAATCAATCAAAGAAATACTTTTCTGAACAAGAGCTGATGCTAGGTAAGGTACACTGGAACACACTTGTTCTGCAGTGCACTCTGTGACGTCCATTCTCTGAAGTTGCTTGTTAAAATATGGACACTTCCCTGTTAAGAATGATTTTTCTTCATATAGTAAGAAATATATATGAATTATTACTACAATAACCCGTATGGGTTCTTTTGAAAATATATATAAATCGATCTTAACTTTCTGTAAGTCACCATTTATTGGTGACATAATAAAAAATTCTTGATGGAAAATATATTATTATAGACTATACTCAACTTTTCAAGTGATCAATCCTAGTTTACAAATATTTTGTAGAAAAAAATTAAATTCCTCAATAACTTATACATATGTAGCTTATGCATTTAAAAAGGTAAGTGAATTTAAAAAATAACGTTAATGACACAACTGTCATATATAGTTCCAAGCTACTATGTATGTTTTTCCTAATATTTTGGACAAAAAAGGAGACTGGGAATAACTGCAAATGAAATATATGGAGATAACTAACGGTATTCAAGTCTAAAGTCCATTAAACGATAAAAAATTGAAGCAAAGCAGACAGGGATATCGAAAACATCAGAGTCGGTATCAGAGGCCATAGAGGAGTAAGCATCCCCTGCCGACTGGTCACACCCGCCGTGTGTTTTTGTCTTGATCAGGAAATAACGGAAAAAATCTCCGACAGATCTCTTTGTATATAATGGCCATACAATTAATATGAAAAACGACAGTCAGCATTTGACTTAATGATAAATTGTATTTGTTGACAAGGTAATTGTATCGACCATAGTTTTTATGGAATAAATGATTTTAAACTAGACTACTGATATTCTTGTTCCAGTAATGTGTTTGTCATTAACATATTAACTCGTTTTAGAAATTGTTCGTACGTAGAACATATTCTCGACTGAAGCGAGAGATATTAACCCCGTATTGCTGCATTAGTAAGGGAAGTTGAAGATTGAAAATCTATAGTCCTCATGTTTATCATAGAGCTTGGTTATCAAATAACAATTAACGTCTTTTTAATGTAAAAAGTAAAATATCTAAGTATGAAATAGATGTCAACAACTCTGTTGTATCTTTTATTTAAAATCACCGGATATATTTAATCAACATAAGAACGGAAATAGCTATAATAATTGTTGATTGACAATACATCGTCGATATATCTAAATGTCCCTGTGATGAGCAAGACAAATGCTTACTCTTTTTACGTATGATATTTTGGACAAATTCTAATTCACATGTAAACAAAAATAAGTATTCATGGGAATTCCAATAGATGGTAGGAAGACCTGATCTCCAAAAACCACATAGATATTGTCGAAATGAAACTCATTTTTTTTTAATATTAACTTTGGAGTACTTGTGTGTACAATCAGAATGTTTTTAACAAAAAAAAATTCAATTGACCAATAACATGGTAAGTAAATTTACGAGTTCCATTTTTATTGAAAAAAAAAAACAACTGTCAAAAATATCAAAAAGCCTGGACTTAAGTTTATCATGGGGAATGGTTGTAAATAAAGTAGGTTGAAAAGTCGTCAATTTTTATAATGTCGACTATGATAAAATTTTGTAAATTCTCCAGAAGTTCTTCGGAATCTTTAAGTATGCATGTCTTATTTACACCATTTATCGAATATATTGTTGCACAGTACTTCTGAAGTTTCTCCTACACTACTGTTGATATTTTATTGAGGAGGAAAGAAAAAGGCCTGATAGAGCGCTTATTGGAATCCGCACCCCCACAGGGGTATTTATCACGGGTACTAGTTGTGAAATGACTATATAATTTTTACTCATCTATGTCTAGTCTGCGTATGATAAGCTAGTCACACAAGCTGGTGATGTACAGTATTGCATTTTTGTCTTTTGATGATGTACAGTTACATTTTTGATACAACTGTAAGTAATGGGACTGAAGTAGTCTTGGCATTATATGTTATTTTGTATATGTTATGTTTTTTCTTGTCACTTTACAAAAAACTGCCTTTTACATTTTCATTACTCTATTTTGCAGTTGTAATTGTCTTTTACAGGGAATGTTAATTTGTGTTTTACCCTCTGTCATTTATTTTCAGCTGCATCTTTTGTGCAATATTTTACCGGAAAATAAATGACATTCAACTCTCTGATTATCTTACTTTCTATTGGCATTAGGCAGACATACATAAAAGATTTTTGTAAAGTTTTAGAAGCCAGTATAGATATGGCAATTCAAATTCATTCTAGTTGTTGGGAATATCAAAACTATTTAAAACTTTTGAAGAATTTTCTGCTTAGAAAGGGATATATTTGTATAAGTTGGATTACCACTAAAATATTTAAGTTCCAGTTCCTCTAAAATACAATTTAAATGATGAGAATTGCAAATAAAAACAACGTACTTATCTGCTTTGTCAGCAGGGACCAGTACATACTGACCGTGTAATCTTTCATACTCTTTTTTTTCACTTTTGAATTACTGAACACAGAGGGATAGTAGGTTTTCATATTGCCTATCAATGGCTTAGTGCTATAATTTAATATACACCTGATACATTTAATCCATTCTGAAAACGGGTCAAAGTCTTTTTTTCATTTCTTGCCCATCGTCTGACCTTGCACTCAATTTTTTTTTTAGAAATACTGGTATGTGAACGTTAAAAGTGGGCTTGATATTTTTGCTGCTTTTGCGCTGCCAACGATGCGCTAATTTATGAATACCGCTAATAAATCATATATACATGTATATACAAGGCTCGAACATGTACACGTAGTGCAAATTCATGAATACGCTGACCCATACCCAGTGATTGCGCCAAATTTTGAATGGAAATATTTGTACATGTAAAGTATATTACCACAATCTAAAAGAAAAAAGGGCTTCCGAGTAACATAATACGTTTTTTTGTCACTGGGCAGTAATTTTATATACCTGGTTCAACGGGAAATGGGTCTTCACAAACGTACGTTGGATTTCCACATTCATCTGGTACACAAATGAATTCTTTAGGACCGACACATTTTTCGCTTTGGTCACTGCTCCGGCAGAATGCGCTCACATAAATAAGTAGGCATTTAAGGCAAAATGCTTTTAGACACATATCACCTGCCATATTTTGTCAAGAGCATTAGATATCGCACAGGTGATCTATAAAAATATTCACAAATTATTAGCAGAAAAAAAGTAAATCAATGTTTAATTATAATATTTTTTTCCAGATATTTTTAAGTTATAGATTACATAATAATGAAGAAAAAACGACACATAAAAAATGAATTTTAAAATGAAAGTACTTAAGGTCATACGCAACGTAGTTTTCACTTTAATGGGTTCTTCCCTGGAGTTGAAGAGTTCCACTAAATGAAGGACCTGTGTGCAATACTTTTAATGTCTATATATATATGGATTTGTGCACCTATTCTCAAATAAATTTTGATAAAAAAAATTTCTGGAATTTATGTTTTGTAATTTTTGTACATTTTTCTTTGAGTAATGCAAAAAATTTCATAATTTGATATCTTTTAAAAACCCCTTGTAACACATGCTGATTTTTTGTTTAAGAACATGTAATGGTATTATAAGTTTAAATTTAGAATATCTTGAAAAATTATCTATAGGTAAGGTACCTTGCGTATGTCCTTAAGATTCACCTGTGAAAAAAGATTGCACGTATGATTCTACTCTTATCTCTCGCTACAATACATTGACCACCAAGTAAATTTCTATATGTTTTATTGTTTATTGCATTTCAAAAACGAAATGTGCAAAATTAGATAAACATCGATAATACTTGAACTCGACAACATCTTTCTTTTCAATACAAGGCAATCGAAACCGAAAGTAATATTTCTAAGTGCAAGAACACTCCAAATCAAATTTTTTTTCAGCATGATAAACCTCATATCTAAAAATAAATGAATTTCTTGATTTTCAATACTTTTTGATAAAATAAATTGAATTTGTTATACCTTCAGAGGAAACTCTGTGTAGTCGGCTTTTCCAGACACTTTAAAAATTAATATGTAGGGTGCGCCAATATCGCCAAAAGAAGAATGACTATGGTAATACAAGTGTAACACTTCTAGGTCAAAGGTTTTTTTCGGATCATATCTAAAAAAATATTGATATAACAACGTTTATATGCTATTTAATAATTCCTGATTTTTTTTATGCTAGAAAATCAATATTTTGGGTGTTTCAGCGATTCGAAATTTGAATTTCTCAGTATGCATATTTTGATCACCGATGATTCGCGCCATTGCTATGACGTCATAGATGTCAATCCTGGTCAAGCGGAGTATACCAGTTTTCTTTACAAAACCGCTCAATGGCTTATTAAACATGCTAGAAAATAAATCAATAATAATTGGCTAATTGACAGATAGTTTTATATAATTTGTGGGCGTTTGGGTGAAAAATGTACACAGGAAAGGTTTAAAGAAGTTTTGTTTTACATGCCCGAGACTTGTTCAAGGATTTGTCTCCATTCAGAGCAATCGTTTATGTACGATCACGACTTTTTCTGTATTATGAAATAGCCAATAGAAATGGTACTTTTCGAAAAGAAATAAAAATATCAACATGCATTTTAAAAGTCGCACACACATCATCCACTATAAGTGCTGTGAAGTTCGTAATGGTGCAACGTGCCAATCATGCAAATGAAGATCGAAGTGTCTTACTAGTATATGATAATCGTTGTTGGAACATATATAAAATACACAAGATCTATTTATGTATAATTTATTACATAATAATAAAAAAACCCAACATAATTTCCATTTTTATAGATATTTCAGAAGTCAAACATTAATAATTCGGTTTATTTAGTCGAAGCCCGGAGTTTTTAACGGCTTCGTCTTCGATGCCCTCTCCCCTTTTCATGTTTTTTTTTTGTTTTCTCTGTGGTAGATGTTTTATATTTATAGTTTTATATTATTAAACGTCCATAGTCAAAATATTATCGTAAATTTCAAAATTTCTTACAAACCAGTCGTGTTTTTTTTTTAATTTAACGTAAAATTTAATTATTCGGTAAACGTTTTCTTATGATAAGCTTCACGAGTTCTCATTGCCCACTGGCACTTATGACGTTTCAGTACCACGTGACCCCTATCTAATAAGTGGAGATTTTCAATCCATGACCCTATATAACGGACGTTTTATGGCCTAAATACGGCAGTTTTAAACATTATTTTATAATTAAACGATAATTATATGTTTAAAGAATATAATAGTGTTTTATTTTTAAGAAATTTAGATATTTAGAAATTTAGAATTTAGAAATTTAAATACCCTTTAAGGAAGCTCTTAACTCTGACAAAAAGAGTTTTTTGGACTTGGAGAAAAAAAATATCATATCAAAGTTTGCATATTGAGATTATTTAGCTCATTTTCAACATAGGCCACCTGTCATATTTCATACGCTTTTCACTAATTATGAAAAAAAAAATCACTGTTGTTTACTTACATTGGGTAATTTAATGGAAATAATAGAATCAATGTTTTATTATTGGTTTAATATAATGTTTTGAATATTTTAGTTTCACAGAAATAGTGTAATAATATTGTAAATAACCATTTTTTCTATCCTATTTCTAAGGACAGAATAACTCTAATGGCATAAGACTACCCTACAAATAGAGCTCTTTGGTGTGCATTGTGTAGAGTTCCTTAAGTGTACGTGTAAACTACGAAAAGGCGAGGAAGAAAAAACAAGAAGAAAACAAACACACACACACAAAAAAAAAGAAATTAAGAAACGAAAGGAAAAGCTAGAGAGAACAACGAAAACAACAACAACAAACCAAAAATAGCAAAAAGAAGAGGATAACGCATATGTTACTGTAACTGTGCAACCAGGAATGTCACATATTTCCTGAAATTTAGGAACGTTCTTAAATTCTTATTCTGCTTACGAAAAAACATATATATTTATAGTTATCAGTTAAAAAATGCATGCATTGACTGAATCTTTTCATACTCTTTACACGTTTTTACTGACTGTGTTTTGGTTAGATAATTGAAAGTACTAATAATGAAATATGAACAGATGCTCAATGAATTTAAAACTAAACCCAGTGGGTAGAGTCAAAACCTGTTATACACAGCTAAGTAATTAATTGATTTTCCTACTATTTCAAATGGTTGTTATGTGAAGAGGCTTTTCATTGAGAAGCTGTTTACTTGGTATCAAAATAGTTTATGTGTATCTCTTTGATTGCCAAAAGAAATATCAAGGAGGAATCCTACACCAAACTTTAAATAAATGTTAATTTTTATTTAAAACAAAACGTTTTTTTCTACGAAAATTTGATATAAATGTTTTTCATTAAATGATTCAAAAAGT